ACAGATCCCAAATCTGCCCCACAGATCCCCTCAAACCCCATTTTCCCCCCATTTTTCCTCATTTCCCCCCATTTTAATTCCACTTTAATTCCCTTTTTATATTCTAAATTTCCCCCAATTTTTTCCCAATTTCCCCTGAATTTCCCCCAATTTTTCCCAATTTTCCCCCAATATTTCTCCATTTTTACCCCATTTTAACCATTTCCCAATTTTAATCCAAATATTTTCCTTCATTTCACCAAATTTCCCCCCAATTTTTTCCCAAATTTTCCCCAATTTTTCCCCCCAAATTTTCCTAATTTTTCCCTAATTTCCCCCAAATCTTTCCCTAAAACCTCCCTAATTTCCCTCAAAATTTTCCCCAAATTCCCCAGTTTCCCCCCCAAATTCTCCTAATTTTTCCCTTATTTTCTCCAATTTTTCCCCTAAATTTCCCCCAATTTTTCCCAATTTTTCCCCTAAATTTCCCCTAAATTTTCCCCAAATTTCCCCCAATTTTCCCCATTTTTAGCCCAAAATTTTCCCCATTTTTAGCCCAAAATTTTCCTAATTTTTTCCCTAATTTCCCCCAAATTTTCCCCCAATTTTTCCCTAAACTTTTGCCATTTTTGCCATTATTTTCCCCATTTTTACCCCAATTTTCCCCCAAATTCTCCTAATTTTTCCCTAATTTTTTGCCAATTTCCCCCAATTTTCCCCAACTTTCCCCCAAATTTTTTCCTGATTTCCCCCCAATTTTTCCTCCTTTTTCCCAAATTTCCCCCAATTTTCTCCCCCATTTTTAACCCAAATTTTTCCCCAATTTTCCCTATCTTTTTCCCTAAATTTCCCCCAATTCTCCCCAAAATTTCCCCAATTTTTTTCCCAATTTCCTCCAATTTTTCCCTCAATTTTCCCCAAATTTTCCCCAATTTACCCCCCAAATTTTCCCTGCATTTTTCCCTAAATTTTTCCCTAAATTTTCCCCTAATTTCCCCCAATTTTCCCCAAATTTTTCCCATTTTTAACCCAAATTTTTCCCCAATTTTCCCTATCTTTTTCCCTAAATTTCCCCCAATTCTCCCCAAAATTTCCCCAATTTTTTTCCCAATTTCCTCCAATTTTTCCCTCAATTTTCCCCAAATTTTCCCCAATTTACCCCCCAAATTTTCCCTGCATTTTTCCCTAAATTTTTCCCTAAATTTTCCCCTAATTTCCCCCAATTTTCCCCAAATTTTTCCCATTTTTAACCCAAATTTTTCCCCAATTTTCCCCCAATTTTCCTAATTTTTTCCCTAATTCCCCCCAAATTTTTCCCTAAACTTTCCCCCAAATTTTCCTAATTTTTTCCCTAATTTTTCCCAAATTTTTCCCTAAATTCCCCTTAATTTCCCCTAAATTTCCGCCATTTTTCACCCAATTTTCCCCATTTTAACCCAAATTTTCCCCATTTTTAACCCAAATTTTTCCCCATTTTCCCCCAAATTTTTCCTAATTTCTCCCAATTTTTTTCCTGATTTTCCCCAAAATTTCCCCCAATTTCCCCAATTTTTCCCCATTTCTAACCCAATTTTCCCATTTTTCCCCCCCCTTTCCCCGGCCCCGCCCCCAGGTGCTGCTGGCCGCGTTCCTATTGGCCGCCGTGGCTGTCAATCAGCTGCTGCCCGCGCTGGGCGTGGCCGCGGCGCTGGCGCTGGGGGAGGGGCTCCTGGGGGGCGGGGCCTACGGCAACGGCTTCGCCAACCTGGCCGAGGAGGTGAGTGACCAATGGGTGACCACTGACCACTGACCAATGGGTGACCAACTGACCAGTGACCAGTGAGTGACCAGTGACCCCTGAGTGACTGATGAGTGACCAGTGAGTGACCACTGACCCCTGTGTGAGCCCTGAGTGAGTGACCAATGGCCTACGGCAACGGCTTCGCCAACCTGGCCGAGGAGGTGAGTGACCAATGGGTGACCACTGAGTGACCACTGAGTGACCCCTAACCCCTGAGTACCCCTGAGTGACCATTGAGTGCCCCCGAGTGACCGCTGAGTGACCCCGAGTGACCCCTGAGTGACCCCGAGTGACCACTGAGTGACCACTGAGTGACCACTGAGTGACCCCTGAGTGACCACTGAGTGACCCCTGAGTGACCACTGAGTGACCCCTGAGTGACCACTGAGTGACCCCTGAGTGACCACTGAGTGACCCCTGAGTGACCACTGAGTGACCCCTGAGTGACCACTGAGTGACCCCTGAGTGACCACTGAGTGACCCCTGAGTGACCACTGAGTGACCCCTGAGTGACCACTGAGTGACCCCTGAGTGACCACTGAGTGACCCCTGAGTGACCACTGAGTGACCCCTGAGTGACCACTGAGTGACCCCTGAGTGACCCTGACTGACCCCTGACTGACCCCCGAGTGACCACTGAGTGACCGCTGCAGGTGCCGCTGCCGCAGCAGCCGCTGGCCGTGGCCGTGGTCACTCTGCTGGCCGAAGTCGCCATCGCCGCGGCCGGAGGGGTCGCCCTGGGGGCCCACGCCGCCTTCTGCGGCCAGCAGTGACCGCTGAGTGACCACTGAGTGACCACTGAGTGACCACTGAGTGACCACTGAGTGAGCCCTAACCCCTGTGTGACCCCTGAGTGCCCCTGAGTGACCACTGACCACTGACCACTGAGTGACCGCTGCAGGTGCCGCTGCCGCAGCAGCCGCTGGCCGTGGCCGTGGTCACTCTGCTGGCCGAAGTCGCCATCGCCGCGGCCGGAGGGGTCGCCCTGGGGGCCCACGCCGCCTTCTGCGGCCAGCAGTGACCGCTGAGTGACCACTGAGTGACCACTGAGTGACCACTGTCATCTGAGTGAACACCGAGTGACCACTGAGTGACCACTGAGTGACCACTGAGTGACCACTGAGTGACCAGTGACCGCTGAGTGACCAGGAGTGACCAGGAGTGACCGCTGAGTGACCACTGGCATCTGAGTGACCACTGAGTGACCACCGATCTCTGAGTGAACCGGAGTGACCACTGAGTGACCACTGAGTGACCAGTGACCGCTGAGTGCCCAGGAGTGACCGCTGAGTGACCACTGGCATCTGAGTGACCACTGAGTGACCACTGATCTCTGAGTGAACCGGAGTGACCACTGAGTGATCCTGAGTGACCACTGAGTGACCAGTGCATTGACCCTGGAGTGACCCCTGGACTGGTCACTGAGTGACCCTGGATTGGCCTGAGAGTGACCACTGAGTGACCACTGGATCAGCGTGAGAGTGACCACTGGACTGGTCACTGAGTGACCACTGAGTGACCACTGAATCGGCCTGAGAGTGACCTCTGGACTGGTCACTGAGTGACCCTGGATTGGCCTGAGAGTGACCACTGAGTGACCCTGGAAGTGACCATGGAGAGACCCTGGAAGTGACCACAGAGTGACCATTGAGTGACCACTGAGAGACCCCTGGAGTGACCCTTGGTCTGGTCACTGAGTGACCACTGAGAGACCCCTGAGTGACCACAGAGTGACCACTGAGTGACCACTGGATCAGCCTGAGAGTGACCACTGAGTGACCACTGGATTGGCCTGAGAGTGACCAGTGAGTGACCCTGGAAGTGACCATGGAGTGATCCTGGAAGTGACCATAAACTGACCCCTGAGTGACCACTGAGTGACCCCTGGAGTGACCCTTGGTCTGGTCACTGAGTGACCACTGAGAGACCCCTGAGTGACCACAGAGTGACCACTGAGTGACCACTGGATTTGCCTTGGAGTGAGCCTTGGTCTGGTCAGTGAGTGACCACAAAGTGACCATTGAGTGACCCTGGAAGTGACCATGGACTGACCACTGGAAGTGACCCTTGGACTGGTCACTGAGTGACCACAGAGTGACCATTGAATGACCACAAAGTGACCACTGAGTGACCACTGGATTTGCCTTGGAATGACCCTGGAAATGACCCCTGGACTGGTCACTGAGTGACCAAAAACTGGCCATGGAGTGACCACTGAGTGACCACTGGATTGGCATTGGAGTGACCCCTGAGTGACCAGAGAGTGACCACTGAGTGACCCCTGAGTGACCCGAGTGGCCACTGGATCAGCCTTGGATTGACCCCTGAGTGACCACTGGAAGTGACCACTGAATGACCCTGGAAGTGACCATGGAGTGACCACTGAGTGACCGCTGGAAGTGACCCTTGGACTGGTCATGGAGTGACCACTGAGTGACCCCTGGACTGGTCACCGAGTGACCACTGAGTGACCCCTTGAAGTGACCATGGAGTGACCCCTTAAAGTGACCACAAAGTGACCATGGAGTGACCCCTGAGTGACCCCTTGGTCTGGTCACTGAGTGACCACTGGATTGGCCTTGGAGTGACCATTGGTTTGGTCACTGAGTGACCACAAAGTGACCATGGAGTGACCACTGAGTGACCGCTGGAAGTGACCCTTGGACTGGTCACTGAGTGACCACTGAGTGACCACTGGATCAGCCTGAGAGTGACCCCTGGACTGGTCACTGAGTGACCACTGAGTGACCACTGGATGACCACGAAGTGACCACTGAGTGACCACTGGATCAGCCTTGGGTTGATCCCCTGGATCGGCCTGAGTGACCACTGAGTGACCACTGGATAGTGACCACAAAGTGACCATTGAGTGACCACTGAGTGACCACTGAGTGACCACTGGAAGTGACCCTTGGTCTGGTCACTGAGTGACCCCTGAGTGACCATTGAATGACCACTGAGTGACCACTGGAAGTGACCCTTGGTCTGGTCACTGAGTGACCCCTGAGTGACCCCTGAGTGACCCCTGAGTGACCCCTGAGTGACCACCGAGTGACCACTGACCCCTGAGTGACCCCTGAGTGACCACCGAGTGACCACTGACCCCTGAGTGACCCCTGAGTGACCACCGAGTGACCACTGACCCCTGAGTGACCCCTGAGTGACCACTGCACCACACCGGTCACTCTTGGGGGGTGGTGACTCCTGGGTGACGACCACTGAGTGACCCCTGAGTGACCACTGAGTGACCACTGACCCCTGAGTGACCCCTGCACCGGTCACTGAGTGACCGCTGGGCCCAAACCGGGACATTTTCCATTAAAAAAGGGAAAATTTGGGTGAAATTTGTGGATTTTTGGATAAAAATCGGAATTTTTGGGGTCAAAATTGGGGATTTTGGGTCAAAATTGGATTTTTGGGGGTCAAAATTGGATTTTTTGAGGTAAAAATTGGGGATTTTGGGGTAAAATTTGGACTTTTTGAGGTAAAAATTGGATTTTTTTGAAGTAAAAATTGGGGATTTTGGGGTAAAATTTGGACTTTTTGAGGTAAAAATTGGATTTTTTTGAAGTAAAAATTGGGGATTTTGGGGTAAAATTTGGACTTTTTGAGGTAAAAATTGGATTTTTTTGAAGTAAAAATTGGGGATTTTGGGGTAAAATTTGGACTTTTTGAGGTAAAAATTGGATTTTTTTGAAGTAAAAATTGGGGATTTTGGGGTAAAATTTGGACTTTTTGAGGTAAAAATTGGATTTTTTTGAAGTAAAAATTGGGGATTTTGGGGTAAAATTTGGATTTTTTTTGAGGTAAAAATTGGATTTTTTAGGTGAAAATGGGGGTTTGGGGGTTAAAAAGGGAAATTTTGAGGTAAAATTGGATTTTTTTGAGGTAAAAATGGGAATTTTTTGAGGTAAAAATGTGAATCTTGGAGGTAAAAATGGGGATTTTGGAGCAACATGGAATTTTTGGGGTCAAAATTGAGAATTTTTGGGGTAAATTTGGGGATTTTGGGGTAAAATTCGGGATTTTGGGGTCAAATGTGAATTTTTGAAGATGAAAACATCAATTTTGGGAGTAAAGTTAGGAATTTTGGGGGTAGAAAATGGGAATTTTAGGGGATAAAATTTGGCATTTTTGGGGTCACAATCAATTGATTTTAAGAGGCAAAAAACCCTGAAAATTGTGAGGTAAAAACTCGCAAATTCTGAGGTAAAAAGTGCTGAATTTGTGGCAAAAAGATCAATTTTTATTAAAAAAGTTCAATTCTTGCCTAAAATCGCGAATTTCAGAGGTAAAATCTGACATTTTGGGTCAAAATCGGCCGATTTAGGGAGGGGGAAAAAAAAAGATAATTTTGAGGTCAAAACTCGGTAATTCTGAGGTAGAAAATCGGGAATTCTGATGTAAAAATCGCCGAATTTGTGGGGAAAATGTCGATTGTGGTTCAAAATTTTGATTTTTTACCAAAAATCACGACTTTTGAGGCGCTTTTGGGGCAAAATCCGCCAATTTAGGGGAGAAAAACCCGGTAATTCCGAGGTAAAAACTCGCGAATTCTGAGGTAAAAACTCGCGAATTCTGAGGTAAAAACTCTCCAATTCTGAGGTAAAAATCGCCGAATTTGAGGCAGAAGCATCGATTATTGTTTAAAACTTTCGAATCTTACCCAAAATCGCGACTTTCGAGGCGCTTTTGGGGCAAAATCCACCGATTTAGGGGAGAAAACCCGGTAATCCTGAGGTAAAAAATCGGGAATTGTGAGGTAAAAACCGGCGAGTTCTGAGGTAAAAATCGCCGAATTTGAGGCAGAAACATCGACTATTGTTTGAAACGTTCGATTCTTACCCACAATCGCGACTTTCGAGGTGCTTTTGGGGCAAAATCCACCGATTTAGGGGAGAAAACCCGGTAATCCTGAGGTAAAAAATCGGAAATTCTGAGGTACAAACCGGCGAGTTCTGAGGTAAAAATCGCCGAATTTGAGGCAGAAACATCGACTATTGTTTGAAACGTTCGATTCTTACCCACAATCGCGACTTTCGAGGTGCTTTTGGGGCAAAATCCACCGATTTAGGGGAGAAAACCCGGTAATCCTGAGGTAAAAAATCGGAAATTCTGAGGTACAAAATCGGGAATTCTGAGGTAAAAACTGGCGAGTTCTGAGGTAAAAATCGCCGAATTTGAGGCAGAAACATCGATTATTGTTTAAAACGTTCGATTCTTACCCAAAATCGCGACTTTCGAGGCGCTTTTGGGGCAAAATCCGCCGATTTAGGGGAGAAAAACCCGGTAATCCTGAGGTAAAAAATCGGGAATTCTGAGGTAAAAATCGGGAATTGTGAGGTAAAACCTGGCGAGTTCTGAGGTAAAAATCGCCGAATTTGAGGCAGAAGCATCGATTATTGTTTAAAACGTTCGATTCTTACCCAAAATCGCGACTTTCGAGGCGCTTTTGGGGCGAAATCCGCCGATTTTGGGTTCTCGGCACCTCCGGACTCGCTTTCCCAGCGTTCCCTGCGCGCCAAATCGGAAAAAGGCGGGAATTGGGAGAGGAAGTGACTCAACCGCCCGGGGAATTTTGAGGTAAAAACTCGCGAATTCTGAGGTAAAAATTGCCGAATTTGAGGCAAAAAAGGTATTTTTATTAAAAATATTCCATTTCCGCCCAGAAAAGGGAATTTTGGAGGTAAGATCCGACTTTTTTGGGTCCAAATCGGCCGGGTGGTAAAAATCCGATAATTGTAAGGAAAAAACTCGCGAATTCTGAGGTAAAAAGCACGGAATTTGAGGTAAAAAAGTAGATTTTTATTTTAAATATTTGATTTTCACCCAAAAACATGAATTTCGGAGTTAAAACCGAATTTTTGAGTCCAATTGGCCGTGTTGGGAGGTTAAAATATTGACAATTCTGAGGTGAAACATGAATTGTGAGGTAAAAAGTCGCAAATTTTGACGTGAAAATCGCCGAATTTGGGGGAAAAGGGTAGATTTTTATCAAAAATATTGAATTTCCACCCAGAAACGTGAATTTGGGGGGTAAAATGTGACATTTTTGGGTCCAAATCAGCCGGTTTGGGTGGTAAAACCCCGATAATTGTGAGGTAAAAACTCGCGAATTCTGAGGTAAAAGTCTTAGATTTTGAGGCGAAAAAATTCAATTTTTAATAAAAATAATGAATTTCTACCCAGAAAGGTGAATTTGAGGAGAAAAATCCGACATTTTTGGGTCCAAATTGTTCGGTTTGGGGGGTAAAAATCCGATAATTTTGAAGGAAAAACTCGCGAATTTTGAAGTAAAAATCTTCGATTTTGAGGCCAAAAAAGTCGATTTTTAATAAAAATATTGAATTTCTACCCAGAAACGTGAATTTGAGGAATAAAATCCGACATTTTTGGATCTAAATTAGTCAGTGTGGGTGGTAAAACCCCCATAATTGTGAGGTAAAAACTCTCGAATTCTGAGATAAAAATCTTCGATTTTAAGGCGGAAAAGTAGATTTTTAATAAAAAATAATGAATTTCTACCCAGAAAGGTGAATTTTAGGAGTAAAATTCCTCCATTTCTGGGTTAAAATCTGCCGATTTAGGGAGGTGGAAACATCGGTAGTTCTGAGGTGAAAAATCGTCAATTCTGAGGTAAAATTTCGGAAATTGTGAGGTAAAAGATCGCAGATTTTGTGGCAGAAATATCGATTATTGTTCAAAACATTCCATTCTTACCCAAAATTGCGAATTTTTGAGGTAAAATCCGAAATTTTGGGTCACAATCAGGCGATTTAGAAGAGAAAAAAACCCGGTAATTATGAGAGGAAAAGTCGGGAATCCTGTGGAAAAAGTCTCCGAATCTCAGGTGAAAAAGTGGATTTTTTTTTTTTAATTTTAAAACTTTCGATTCTCACCCAAACCGCGACTTTTTTGGGGAAAAATCCCCCGATTTCGGCACTTTGCCACTTCCGGACTCGCTTTCCCAGCGTCCCCCGCGCGCTTAACCGGAAAAAGGGCGGGCTGAGGAGCGGAAGTGGAGTGACGTTGCTTCCGCTCCGGCCTTTCGGCGTTTCCGTACCGGCGGCTCCGCGTGCGGCGCGTTCGGTGCGGGGGGGGAAGGGGCGGAATTCG